AACGTTCCTTTGCCACGAGATACCTGCTTCCAGGATATCGGAAGTCAAGTGACACATATAGTCTGGCAGCTTGTTTGCCCGGCAATTCGTACATTCCTGGGTGGGGAGGCATCCTGTGCAGATGGACATCACGTGTACGAGATTGCAGATGAAACGGTCATTATGCATTATCGGGAGCGATTTCTTCGTGTTTCTTGTTGTGTATCTTTTTAAGGGAGGGGGGGGGTGAAGCTTAAGCTTCGAAAATGGAATGTGTGCACGACATTTGGAAGGGAGGGGTATGAGCATTGGATTTAGATCACTTGAACCCTTCAGAAAAGATTTGCTTCGATGTGAATGTACCTGTGATGTTATATTTTGAGGTTATGATCTCGCGATATCTGTTTTGTTTATGTCTATTACATTGGATGTACTCTGAGGATCAAGAAAGAAACCCGTTGAATACAATATGACATTGTTTTTCGTGTAAAGATTTCGATATTGTGAGATGGTTCAGGTTGTTTGAAATGTGATATATCAAGCTGCACTAAGTGGACGATAAGCTCTTATCGCTCTTTCCTAGTGCCCGATAAGACCTATCGTAGCCGCACACAAGCGCATATCGCGTCTAAATTTCCTCAATTTGCACACAAGCTGTCGCAAGCTGTTGAACAACCATTCCAAAACAATCCTATCATTCAGCCATTATGACGAGTCTCAAACGATCTATGGGATCGGATCCCTACTCCTCCAATATATCGAGTAAAGTCTATGTACGATCTACCAAAAGTGGCAAAGTTCAGAAGATTGTTCGTGAATTATATCTTCGACAAGATATTCCCTGCTCATCCAAACTCTGCGACAGCTGCCTCAAGACTGCGCCACCAGATGCGAGTGGTGTTGGTAAGTTTGATCTCGATAATGTATATGATACATTTGCATGATAGAAGACTTACTTTGATGCAGTGCCACCATTCGTTCTATCGGAAACCCCTGCGGGAACAGCAGCATACCCTCAAGGGCATTACCTGGTACCCGATACCAATGCGTTATTGAACGCCCTCGACCTTTTTGAACAGGCATCGGCCTTCTACGATGTTATCATCTTACAAACTGTCCTTGAGGAACTACGAAATAGATCACTACCGCTTTACAATCGATTGATTGGGCTCACAAAGAGCGAGGATAAACGATTTCATGTTTTCTTTAATGATTTTCGTCTGGAGACTTATGTGGTTCGGGAGACTGGAGAAAGTATAAATGATAGAAATGATAGAGCGGTTCGACGCGCGGTCAAATGGTACGATGAACATATTACACAAGCAGTAAAAGCTTCGGGAGGACGTTCGAAAAAGATACCTGCTGTTGTAATGCTTAGTGATGATAAGGAGAATCTCAGAAAGGCAAAGCGTGATGGTATTCAAGCATGCTCTCTCCGGGAATATGTTAGTGGATTGGAGGATGCAGATCGATTACTGGATATGATCAGTGCAGCACAAGAAGACAAAGAAGCCCGAGATGCTAGAACTTCTGGAAACCTATACCAGGAATATCATTCAGTATCAAAGATGATGACTGGTGTCAAGAACGGCACGTTACATCAGGGTATTTTTAATGTTTCACCATACAACTATTTGGAGGGGTCTGTAAACGTCCCCGCTTTCGACAAATCATTACTTGTTCTTGGCAGAGAGAATATAAATAGATCTGTTCAGGGTGATGTTGTTGTTATCGAAGTATTACCAAAAGACCAATGGAAAGAACCTTCTACAAAAATCATCGAGGAAGAAACCTTAAACAAGGATGAAAACGCCGATGCTGATGAGGGAGAAGCTGTTGTCACCGAGAAGGAAAGACGTGCGCTGCAAGAAGAAGTAAAGAAGACCCACAGCAAGGGTACGGAGAATCGTCCTCAGCCAACTGCTAGAGTAGTTGGTGTCGTAAAGCGTAATTGGAGACAATATGTCGGTCATGTGGACGAATCATCTGTTAGTCAGTCGGTAAAACAAGGTCGCAAGCAACAAACTGTTTTCCTCATTCCCATGGACAAGAGGATACCCAAAATTCGTGTTAGAACGCGACAAGCGGGTGAGATATTAGGAAAGCGGGTTTTAGTCACCATCGACTCGTGGGATAGAGATTCGAGATATCCTGTTGGTCATTTTGTTCGTTCTCTCGGCGAACTGGAAACAAAAGGTGCCGAGACAGAGGCTTTACTTTTGGAATACGACGTACAATATAGACCATTCCCGAAAACAGTCTTAGACTGTTTACCTGCAGAAGGTCATGATTGGATTGTACCTCCAAGTGTGGATGATCCTGGATGGAAAAACAGACGCGACCTTCGAGGTCTTAACATTTGCAGCATTGATCCAATAGGTTGTCAGGATATTGATGACGCATTGCATGCGAGACCTTTGCCCAATGGCAATTACGAAGTGGGTGTGCATATTGCAGATGTCTCACATTTCGTCAAGCCAAATAATGCAATGGATGTAGAAGCGAGTATACGAGGGACCACCGTTTATTTAGTAGATAAGCGAATTGACATGTTACCGATGTTACTTGGGACGGATTTGTGTTCTCTTAAGCCTTATGTCGAGAGATATGCATTTTCTTGTTTATGGGAAATCACACCGGATGCCGAAATTGTTAATTCAGAGTACACAAAATCTGTCATTAAATCACGAGAAGCATTTAGTTACGAAGATGCTCAGAAGCGTGTTGATGATGCGTCGGCTCAAGATGAACTTACTACCAACATCCGTACTCTTCTTATGTTGTCTAAGAAATTCAAGCAGAAGCGTATGGATGCTGGAGCTTTGAGTCTCTCGTCACCAGAAGTTAAAGTGGAGATGGAATCTGAGACCTCGGATCCAATCGATATCAAACAGAAAAAGCATCTTGACACTATGTCATTGGTCGAAGAATTTATGCTTCTCGCCAACACTAGTGTAGCAGCAAAGATTTATTCTGCATTTCCTCAAACGGCCATGCTTCGTCGTCACGCAGCCCCTCCCAAGACAAATTTTGAAGAACTTGCCAATCAACTCAAGGTCAAGCGTGGCCTTGAACTTAAGGTTGGCTCATCAAGAGAACTTGCTGACACCCTGGATGGATGCGTTGACCCCGCCGAACCTTTCTTCAATACCCTCGTCCGTATTATGGCAACTCGTTGCATGATGTCTGCAGAATATTTCTGTTCGGGCACACAAGCATACCCTGAGTTCCGCCATTATGGTCTTGCATCCGAGATCTATACTCACTTTACATCTCCCATTCGTCGTTATGCAGACCTTGTCGCTCATCGTCAACTAGCTGCAGCAATCGATTATGAGCCTCTTGCTGCTAGTGTCCGCAGTAAGGGAAAACTCGAAGGTGTTTGCAAGAACATTAACGTTCGTCATCGTAATGCTCAACAAGCTGGTCGTGCTTCCATCGAATACTACGTTGGTCAAGCACTCAAGGGTCGTATTGTTGAGGAAGAAGGTTTCGTCATGAAGGTTTTCAGTAATGGATTTGTTGTCTTCGTACCAAGATTTGGTATCGAATCACTTATTCGTCTGAGAGATTTGGCAGAGCCAGAACCAGAGGGTGATTTTGATGCGGAGAATTATGTTTTGCAAACGAAGGGAAGTAGAGAGGTTAGAATAGAGTTGTTTGGAAAGGTGACGGTGAGGATTAGTGATGTTAAGGAGGAGAGTACGGGGAAGAGAAAGATTAAGGCGGAGTTGGTGGAAGTGATTGAGGGGAAGAAATAAATTTGTGAATGGATGGAGAGATTTTGGGGGTAATTGAATGAGGGGGTTATTGAAATGAGTTGAGGACAGGTATATCATGGTCAGATACGTGTATGATTGAGTAGAGATATCAATTTGAAGAAATTTTTTACGCTGAGGATTCGGAGAATTGTGTGTTGTTGATGATGGGAATGGAATCATGGTAGCTGAGACATGTTCTCCATTGCTAGGCATTTAATACCTAAAGTTCAATCGATAATTCATCTTTCATTGCACTTGAATAATCCATCCTCGTTATGACTGTTGGTATATGATGTCTATCCTCATGCATCAATATTCCAATCGAGTTGAGATATCTACGGGGTGGTAGATTGGTATTGCATTGATGGATTCACAAGTCGAGTTTTTGCAGTGTCCTGTTAGTTCGTATGCTGAATCGCTGGGGTGCGAATCGATTGGCTTGATTCGTGGTGAAGTTATTTACTTTAGTGTAGGTCTGAGTGTGAATCAGTGTGAATTTTTCTATGTGTCTCTGTGAACGTAGGATTTTTATGTAGGTGGATAGGTAGGTGGATAGTTTGTTTGGAGATTGGAAGACTGGGGGAGGGGTGAGGGGGGAGGGGGCAGAGCTTTTGGGGTGTATGTGTATGTGTGTATGTATGATTGTTGAGTATTTGTCGTGACTTTTAACAGAGTCTGGGTTGGTGAGTTTCTGATTGTGGGTGTGTGGATGTTGAATGTGGAAAAGATGGGTTGGATGGGGACATGGGGTAGATGGGGTAGGTTGGGCGGATTTGGAGGGATGGGAAGTTGTGGGTTTTGTGTTTATGGTGATGTGGTGAGTTGGTGAGTGAGTTGGTTGTGGTTGGAGTTGTGCTTTGGCTAGAGTATCTGTGTTGAAAAGTGCGGTAGTTTGCTGAGACGGTGTGAGAAGTGAGGAAGCTATTAGGGGGGACAATCTACCAAGAAACATCGACTAAAATAATTACGCTGCTGTCAGTGTACACTGCGTGACCTCGGCAGTGAACCGAATGTCTGGGTCGATTTTTATCTTAACGACCGGCTATATGCTAAGACTCCTGTTATTGACTCTTTCATTATGGTCTACTCTCGTTTGCGGCTTCTTGTATGCCCCGCTTTATTCACTTATTACATGGGTCATCAATAGGGGCGACATAGCGGGTTAAGTTGGTATACTGTAATTGCTTGCGCCGCAAAGCGGCATACAATGCCAACACGCACAACAACAACAGTTATTTCCTGCCCGTAATTAAATCAGTAGAACTATTTCTTTCTCTCACCGAATATCCTCAGAATAACAAACACTTGATCCTTACTTCTTCTTTACTTCCTTTCCAATCCGCGTTCCCCGTACAAAAATGGCATCCTTTGATATCAACACAACTGGCGACGATGTGCTCAAGCACTTCTCCCAGTACGCCGAGGGCAAAACATGTTTGTTTATTCTCTTGAGATCATTTGAATTCCTTACAAATCCAGCTAATGAACATAACTAGTTGTCATAACCGGTCCAAGTGAAAATGGCATCGGCGCCGAGTCTGCAATCACTCTCGCATCTGCAAAGCCCCAGAAAATCATTCTTGTCGGTCGAACTGAAAGTAAAGTCATTTCAGTAATTGAAGCTATCAAAAAGAACAACCCAGACATTGAAGTCTCCTTTGTTGAAATCGATCTTCTCAACAACAAGAGCGTTCGACAAGCAGCAGAGAAGATAAAGTCCTTAACAGATAAGATTGATGTTCTTATTAACAATGCCGGTGTGATGGCTGTAAAACACTATGCTACATCTGTCGATGGGGTTGAAAGCCAATTTGCGACTAATTATCTTGGTCATTTTCTTCTTACCAATCTGCTCGTTAAGGAGATAGTCGCTGCGGCTAATATGGGGAGGGGGGCTAGAATAGTCCAGGTTGGTAGTTTGGGATACCAGCTCGGAGAAAGGAATTACGGCATTGATATGCCATCCTGGTGGTACGTCAATTTCAACACTGTATTTGTGCTTTACTAACAAGATGTTCAAGTAACCCTGGAAAGCCAGTTATTGGTGAATTCAAGTGTGGACAATGAATCGTTCGCTGATGCGTACGTTTTGGCGATTAAACGCAATGATGGTATATTTTCTCGCATCTATTGATTTATGCAGGTGGTAGAAAGGCTGACTATACATCAGGAAATCCTCTTCCCCCACAAAACATGGTGACTTTGAAACAAGCAGCGGGAGTAGTGCTCTTTACTGCTTTGAACCCATCTTTGACAAGTATGTAGATCAGGGATCCCTATTCTGAAAGTGTACGTCTACTGACTTTGAATTTCACAGAGGCTGCACCAGCATTCATCGTTGAAAATGAAATTTACACAGAGACGAAGGAGTATGCGCTCAATGAGGAGACAGCCGAGGGTTTGTGGAAGCTCAGCGAGAAGCTTGTTGGAGAGACATTTGTTTACTGAACTGGAGGGCCAGATGATGAGATTTGGATAACGAATTGCTTGGTGGCCTGAGAGGAAAGTTTTAGGATAAATCTGTCAGGTTCATAAATGAAATGAACTGAATTATGAACTATTACAACTTAAGAATTTTACAACCCTTGTGCTTGTCAAGAAAAGTTTTGACATACTGTACGAAGGGAGATTGCACCGTCTTGGCTTGACTCGGCTCTACTACTTTTTGCTTCTTTTTCTCAGGACGTCTGATATTTAGAATATTGACTTAACTCTAGAAACATCACGTTTCTAGAAGCTAGTCTTCCAAACCCGTTCTTAGGTGTGCTATTCTATCTCATCACAGCCTGAGTTAATACGCACACCAGAAAGGAGCTATGAATCGCCTGGCCCCAATCTACCAATCTGAAATAACACTTACTCCATCTATACTACGCTAGGATTTATTCGAATAAAAACTTTCTTCTCAAGTTTTAATGATCATACCATGTAATCTGTGTTTTGATATAACTGGAATCTGATAGGTTATATCATTGAAAGGTAGACCTCTCATCTCAGTTGAAATCTGGAAGTATTGATGTATTTTCGTAAGTCTATAAAATACCAAGCTGGTGTGATTTTCCCGTTCACTTTCCGATTTATCTTGAACAATGAGGTTATCTTGAACCGTGTGACTATCTTGAGCACTCGTAACCTCTCAAGTAATGAGACATTCTTGAAAAATAAAACTTGTTGAGATAATGAAATTATCTCAAACAATGAACCTATCTTGAATAGCAAGATTATTCTAAATGATAAATCCATCTCATATAAGGAAACTTTTTGAAACAATAGAACTACTTTGAATGATGAAATTATCTTACACAATAGAACTATTCTTAACTAATAGATTTGTCTTCGCATGTTCACCTTTCAATCCAAATTTGTTCATTCTGCTCTGATTTTGTTTTAAACATCATAATTTGATCATCGAACTACAATGATCTGATATTTACAATCCAGATAAATAGAGGCCTCTTCGAGTAATCCTTCATTCGTCTTATTACAAGTAGTTCCTCTTTCTTGCGCTTGTATTGAGAAGACTAACTCTTCATAAAAGACTGAGGACTCATTAAGCCAATTCAACTTGATTCAGCTGGTCTGAGGTTAACTTTTAAGGAATTTCTAAGTCTAGATAGCCAAATTCGATTGACAAGCGAGGTCAATATCAAAACTCGAGAGCTGAACGTCTAGTGCTACTATGAATAGAATCAAGACGTTAACATATGAATTGGTTTCTCTCCGGGATTAAATTTATTCTAGGCACCACTAGCTACAGATTGACAAAAGATTAAACTTGAAAATAGGAGATCCAAATGTATGTAAAGCAGGTTTCTCCAGGTCGAAGAACAACTTTTATGTAGGCTCAAGGTCTTATTATTTAAGCGCTATTGACAGCATTCTTGTAGTCATAGTAAATAATGGTTATAAAGTTTACTACGGCCATACTACAACATGATTGTAATGATATACGAGCATCCACGTCACTGAAGATCTAATCTCATAGTCGTAGGAACGCTAGCAGCGGAATTTTCCTATGACAGTTTCTCAACTTTCTTTCGAATCGGCAAAGAGTTGGAAAACAGTGAAGCTAAACATCTCCTATCCTGAGTGGCTATCTAAAGCTCGAGAACTCTCGCCTTAGCCCCAAAGATTCACGATGAAGATAAAAGAAGGTGTAATTTGAGATTAGCTACACGCGCTGTCAGCGCGGATGAAGTGCTAGGTAGGAGGAATGATATCGTTGAAGAGCGATAACGCAAGTGATCAAACGATGCTTTGGTTTGGAATGTGAGAACAAGAGTAAGTAAGAGCCAAAGGTTGTGGTGTACGTCGATTCTCAGTACACTGCGTGGACCCTCACGTTAAAAAAGAGGGGCAAAACTGGAAGTCTAAAGTTAACAACAAGTTTGATTATGTAGGCATCACTGGCCATTGTTTGTCAAGCCTGGATATGTCATGTACCTCACTTGAGCATTTGATTGAACACAATCCTGTCAAAAGACAACATGCGTTCAATATACATTGTACTGCAAGGAATCATTTCTATGATCAAGTCAAATGTACTAATATAGTAACGACCTCCCTCGCTTACCCCGCAAAACTCAATTACTCGCTACCAAAAATAGGTACAGCACTTCAAATACTTGTAGATATCCAAAATAAATTGCAAAAAAGTCAATTATATTGTTTCTGGAGCGGCAGAGGATCGAACTCTGGACTTCATCGATCTTTGGTTTACCTAACCCCCCGCAGGGGGCATGGTAATGCAAACGAGGCACTCTACCACTGAGTTACGGCCCCTATTCTAAGTGATGCAAGGCTCTATTTTCCTAAGTATATAATCGGCACGTAGAGACAAGCGACGCACAGAGCCCCAGTGAGCCAAATTCCGCACATTCCGTGCCGAAAATTAACCGGCACTGGCATCATTTAATATTATATTGATATGTCAGATTCCAAACTCATCTCAACAATAACCACCACATTGACAATATCATAATGATAATCAGGCATAGATTGACCATTTTACTCTGCATCGCAGTACTTGGACTTTTCAGTGTTGCGAATGCGAGTACTGGAGATCGATTGCCTGAATTTAAACAATGTGTTGAGGTATGAATGTCCTTGGAGCTTGCATTTGTTTTGTTTACTTTTTGTTAAATACTAATTAACACTTAGGTCTGTCAACGAGAGAATTGCGACAATCAAGTTGGAGGCGGTACAAAAATTCGTATGTCAAATATTCCTTCCTTTAATTCCTACTCTGGTTCGTACATAGAAAATAACAAGATGATACAGCACTCCTCCATCGACTTCTCTTCTGGACTTGCCCAGCCGAATGTGATTATACCTGTCAGCATATAATTACCGACTCGCGCGTTAAATCCTCACAGCCCATTGTTCAATTCCATGGGAAATGGCCGTTCTATCGTTTCCTCGGCATGCAAGAGCCTTTCTCCGTCCTCTTTTCACTCTTCAACTTCATGGCCCATCATAACGGACTTGCAAGAGTAACTGCACAGATTCCCGAAGATTATAGTATGCGAAAATACTATGTCATGCTATCATATGCAGGAATGATGAGTTGGGTGGCCAGTATGGTATTCCACACAAGGGATTTTGCTTTCACAGAACAAATGGATTATTTTGCGGCAGGAGGAAGTGTCTTGTACGGCATGTACTATACTCCGATTCGAATCTTCCGTATGGATCGTGGTGGAAAACGCACAAAGTCTATATTACGTGCCTGGACTCTCCTATGCATACTCTGCTATATTGCACATGTTGTTTATTTGAAGTGGTGGGATTGGGATTATACTTACAACATGGCTGCAAATGTTGTAGTTGGAGTAATACAAAATTCTCTATGGAGTTGGTTCTCATTCGAAAAATACAGGAAGAGTAAGAGAGCATGGGCAGCATGGCCAGGGTTAGTAGTTGCGTGGATTTTTATGGCAATGAGTTTGGAGTTGGTGGATTTCCCACCTTGGTTAGGATGTTTGGATGCACATAGTTTGTGGCATTTGGGGACGGTGGCTCCAACTATGATTTTCTATAGGTATGTTTCCCATGGTTTCTTTATAACCGTGATTTGGTGCGGTCAGTGAGAAATGCTAATTTAGGTATAGTTTCTTGATCAAGGATGCCCAAGACGATATAGCTGGACAAAGATTAAAGGCTTAGACTATACATGAAGTGAGGTGGGCAATCATGGAATGGCTGGGAGGGGTTTGAGAAAGAGGCTTAATGTCAAAATAATAGTACTGGAACATATCTGAGATCTTTTCCCTACAGACGCGGGAGCTAAGATGGCGCTAGAAGCCGAGGAAGAGTCGTCGGTGAGTCGTCACCCGTGTGGCGGTGAGGTTATGATAGTAACATCGCGAATCTTCAAATCTCCGTACTGTTCTGCATGAAAGACATCCTGAATCATGCTAGGCTGTTCGCAAAGGGTAGCATAGACTTGGGTTCATTCGGATGCCAAAATGTGAATGTTCAGAGCGGTATTTCAAAATGATCGCCCCAAGTTAGGTGGAACAATAGGGGTTCAACGTTGAAGATTGAGTTGAAGATCGAAACTCGATGTCTCAGGCTGAACGGCAAAACGGAATCTTAACGTTCAAGACTGGATGGAACAATGAAGGAAGGGTGAATGTTCAAAATGTGTTGGGCAATCAAGGCTTGATCCCTTGAGATCTGATCCCCAACTTTCCGTCGCGCATCCAAAAAACTAGATACACTCCCAACATCTACATCGAAGTTGTGATTTTACATACACAACAGAGATGTCTAGAAGGTCTCATTTCGTCAGTGATATCGAGTTCAGTTCAGACGAGATATAACTTTCCAGAGTGAGCCTGGCAGAAAGTGGCGGAGATCACAAGTAGAAAGCTTCATGTGAAGAGGTCAAGCCAATTCCGTCCAATACAGTAGGAAGGATAATGTAATCGATACCTTTCCGCCCCTGATTATTCAAGCAAAGCATCAAGATAACAAAAAATCACAATCTCAATAATACTTCAAAGTTCACGCACGTATTCATATAGTAAAGAGTATGTTGTAAATGAGTCTTCTATTTCAGCGAAGCACTATACAAACATCACATAGACGGGGAGACAAGATAAGCAGACAGACAGACAGACAGACAGAAAGTAAAGAGCCCTTTCCCCATCAATCCATCCACGCCTATGCGTCCATCCATATCCAATCATCCCTTCCCAAGAAGTCCACGCCGTTCCTGCCTTCCCAGAAACGCCATCACATCCCCAAGACCAGATAAAAGGATAAAACAATGATTTTCCTTTGTAAAGGTAAATTCCTCTGCTGAGACTCAACGAAAAGACTTTGCCAAAATGTATCCTGCTTTTGGGGGTATATCTTCCTTCCCTAATCCTTCCCTCCTTCCCCCATTCCATTCCATTTGACCCCACCTCTTCAAATCCACATTCCTTCTCCTGCCTCTCCCCCTATATATCATGAGCATTAACAGAAACGACACGATACCCATGTCCTCCAGAAATTATTAATTAAGTGAGTGGGATCGCATCACCTACCAGGTGAAACGATTGCAAATAGAAAATTCAAAAGACAAAAAATGCGAAGGTACAAAATGAAACGCTCGGATGCCAACACCCGTAGGTGATTGTTGCTAATATACAACGCCAGTTATTTTAAATCGAACTGGTCTACGATTTCTGGGATATCAATGCTTCGTCGAAGGAAGACGGGTGCCAATGGCAAATAAATCAAAACGCCGAAACAATTACACTGCTGAAAATTCTGGGAGCGCGGTTCTCATTCGTCAAACCTGAGAGCCCCACTGCAAACATGGACTTTTTTGACTCTTTATTTCTCCGAATAGTCAGCGGGAGTGACATTGGAGAATTGATATTGTTTCTGCTTCGTCGTCATGGTTGGAGAGCTGCCTACCAAGCCAATGTTCGAAAATTGTGCGAGTGCATCATGTGGAAAGGAGTATTCAGCAGATCCGCCATTCGACAATGTGTATAAAGGGCTGGCATTATTGTTGAACTGTGGAGAATCATGACCGTTGCCTAGAAGGGGACCTCCTTGATTGAAACTGCCAAAAGCAGGTGTTACTGGTTGGCTAGCATACGAAGGTTGAGGCATTGATAATTCGGCAGCGAAATGATCGTGGCTGGGTGTGTAGAGAGGTTCATCTGGAATATCGTAATTCCAATGCTGCTCTGTGTTGTTGTGCTCAATGTTATTTGGCCATCCGGATGTGTTTGTTTGTTGGAGTACTAATGAGGCTTGTGGTGTCTCTGGGGGCGTTTGGTCGGTGATCTGATTAGGGTCTATCAAAGTGGGAAGACCATCATGGCTGCTCGACAAATCGAACATGAAATTCAAATCATCTTCGTGAGACGATGAGTTTTCCCTTTTCAGTGTCATCTGTCTCTCTCTAGGCGACATTGGAGTTGGCGGTGCCAAGCTACTCGTGAGAGATGAGCCGGCTGTTAAGCTAGGTTGGTTGATCATGTGGTAATTTTGCTCCATGAAGGAACTAGCATTTTCGAATCCGTGTATGTTAATAGGTGACCTCTGCGCAGACTCTATTCCAGGCTTTTGAATACGACCAGTAAGAACATTTCCCCCAGCCGAGACAATCCTGCGCATGGGTGAAGGCAGAGGACTGGCAACTTGGCGACGGAACCCATCTACATTTGATACAGTGCGTGGTCCCATTGGTGGTCTACTTCTCATCGTATCAGTTCCCAAGGCGGCTGGTTTGACCTGGACCTTCTTCCGCCTGGCGACTATATCTGTTGGAGGACGTGGTGACTTGAACGATCTCGAGGAGGGCGGAGGGGATGAGAATTGAAGTGATGTTTCGTCGCTAGTGTCGTCTACAGATGGGATTTTTGCCGGTCTGTATGTGACAGCACCGGTGAAAGGTTGAGACGAAGCGGAAACTGTAGAGAGCGACCTTGTAGTGCTATCATCAGAGAATGTATTAAATGCTGTTGGTGTATGACCAGATTCGCCGGTGCCAAATGGCTCTAATTGCTCTGGTTCATCGAATATATTTTGATTGAATGCAGGCTGAAAATTGAAGGAACCGTCGTAATCAAAGGCATTGGCAGTTGGGAACGGAGCACGATCAAGATCAGAAGTCTCTCCCATACCTAGCATATTTGCGAGCTGAAGAGGATCGTTGTGATGTACGTTAAAGTTGCCTGAGAACTCTCCATTTTGATTGACAGGTTGAGCAGAAGCCATGGCACGCTGGAGAGACTGCATACTCGCGTTGGTGGGATCTGCATATTGGGGATTATAAGGTGCCGTGGCTGGTGGAGGACCGGATGTAGGAAATGACATCGAAGAGGATTGTTGTGGCACCATTGGATAGTCGATATTGTAATTGCTTTGAGGAAAGTCCGGAGATGAAGGCGCGGAGACTGAGTATCCCAATGCTTCCCGCGCTTGACCAGCCTCATATGCTTCCGTTTTCTTCTCTTGCTTGCGTTTGGCTCGACGATTCTGGAACCAGTTCTACTACGTATCAGTACCGAGACATAAAAACTGATTTGAGTTACTATTCTTACATTGATTCTTGACAACTCGACACCCATGGTATCAGCATAACCACGCTTAGTTTGAGTGGTTGGCTTTGGGTTCTTGTTGAATTCAAACTCCAAGATGTCAACTTCATCCTTTCCTAGACGAGGTTTCGTCTCATTGGTTTTTTGTCCAGTAGCCATGTTCATCATATTGGGTTGATGCTGCGGTATCGAATATCCGTATTGATGGTCGTTGTAGATCCCGCCTGATGTCATTTGAGAGATTAATTGGTCATGGCTAGGATGTTGCGAAAAGTGCTGAAAGGTGGGTTGAACGTAGTCCATTTTTAAGTTGGCTGTTGGTTTAAAAGCTAAACCCCCACGGCGTAGTTTTGTGGAAAATAGAAGAGGAATCACAAATTGAATCGTAAGGAAAATGCGAAAATGATATCGGAATCAAATAATGTTGACGATAAACCGAATTTCATGTATATATTAGCCGTACGATTTGGATATGTCGTTCAACGATCTCTTGAGTAAGTGTATATGTATATGTATGATGCGGTGGGTGGGATAAGAAACGACTGTAAGCCACTTCTACAGACAAATGAATGGAATCTGAATACGAAGTGATTCAAGCAGCGATAAAATTAGTATATATTGGAAGATGGAAATTGTCGAAGATAATTGAAGGAGTATCGCAACCGCTCGTTTCGATATCGGTTTCAGTAATTGAATGATGAGGGCGCGTATATATTATAGGTGTGTGGTAGAATGGATCGTAAGTTTACTACTTGCGGGCAGGCGAGGAATCCGGAATTTCGATATCGTGAATCAAGAAAGTTGATGCAAGGAACGAAAGTGGTCAGTCGTCTGTAATTATGGTTATGGTCAGTCAACTGGAACGAAGGAGAAAGGAAAATGTTGTTCGAAATGAAAAAAGATTGGAGAAGTTGGTGTGTGAAGGGGGAAAGAACTAACGGGGTGGTTAATTGTGACTAAGGCGACTTTAGCAGTTGGCTGCAGATCGGATCTGTGGCTGTATTTGGCTGGTACCTGGGCGTTCATGCCAAAAATTAATCGAACCTCTCTTTTATTCCTTTAACGCAGCGGATAAGATAATAATATACAATTGCGGAAAAGACAATGAATATATATATCACAATGCAGACAAGCAAGTGGAGTTTAATGGACGAGTGATTGTACGTGTGAGAGTGAGGGGCGGGAAGGGTGGAAGAAGGAGCAGCGCGCGCAATTCAAGGAAAGAAAGAGAGGTGTGGTAGTCGTTGATCTGAAGTAGGTGGTAGTAAAAGTAAGATATGGATTGAAGGGTGGGTATGGATATGGATGTGTAGGTAGGTAGGTGCTTTAGGTTGCTAGTGTACTACTACTATAGCTCAGATGTATGGATTGTAAATAAATTGTGGATTTCCTGATGTGGTGTGAGTGGGTATGGGATGTGTTGCTCACCACTTCAAGCTCACTGGGTACTGCTCGTCTTTTTTGGTGGTTGTTCGGTGGTGTATCTGTATGTACATACGGGGGGGTTTGTCTTGATGAGCGATCTATAATCTTGTTGGTACAGGAAGCTTACAAGCCTACAAGCCTACAAAAAGCCTGTGCTTTTTTCCTAAGAAAAACAACAGGGCACAATTGTGATCCCTCGCTGTTTTTGCAACACTTTGCTAACCTTGACCTGGAACTCCTTGACTTGACCTACATGACCACAATCACTGGTGTGGCTTGGCAAGGGTTTACTCCCCGGGACATTCTCTCCTACCTTCTTTTTTCTCTCTTGAGATATCTACTCTGTATCAATCCTTGGTTGGAATTCCTTGGGGGCATGAGATTCAGCGCGTGGTATGGACCCCTTCATCGCCTCGGTTAATAATTTGCCTTTGTAGGATAAGGGCAACATCCATATGGAATATTTGGTTTCTATTTTACTTTACTCTACTTTACTTTACATCTTGACTTCCTTGCTAATTCTACTATTTGACCCTCACTTTACCCTGAATCAACTTCATTCATATTGATTCATTCCTTGGATCATGAAAACGATTCCGAATAAATGATCATTGTGATGATGGTGGGCTCACTCTGAAGTTTCGTATTTACTTCACATATCAAATCGTCTACCTTCGTCATTTCTATAGGTATGAGATTGATTGTTTGACAGTAAGAACGAATCTATTCCATACTTATCCACAGTAGTTTTTGTCCTTTTCCAAAGTTTCCATAGCTTATCCATGTCATTCGGATACCCCCAACTGCACCGTGCGTGAAAAACAACATCAGATATGATCCATAGAGAGACCGAGAGCGAAGAAAAGCACTGTATTCGAAGCGAAACAAACACCTTTAATGATATCAACTGGGCTCTGATACAAAGTGGGTTGATTTTCAAGTAAACGAGTGTACTGTATTCCGGAAAGAATCAAAATTTAGGCTTCGGCAGTGGACTTTTACAAGTAACGTCGATTTCTAACTCGGAAGTGATTGAGTTTATCAGTCATAGAATGAACCCTACCTACTCTCCATTTATGGGGGTCTCCGTACCATTTTCAAATCTGTGTGATATCGTCGTAAGCATTTATTACTTGGATATTATTTCTTTAATTTTTGACCAGAACTTGTTGTTCCTTTTGTTCTGCGATCTCTTCCTTAGTGGCTAAGTCCACTCGCTTCTTTTGCTTCGCACCTGCAGAAAGCCGGGCGGATCACACCAACTCAGGTACGAGCAAGGTTCCTAGCTCTAGAAGCACTTAAGCACCTACCTTACTAGTCTTTTATGATCCTCAACTAGGCCATAGTCAGTAATCATTCGCACAGCAAGCAAAGCTTACCCACCCTCTTTTAGCATCCATGTTCTGGGTAACAGTGCAGCGCAATCAAGATACGTTCTAATTTCTCAGGATAAAGCTCTTCGCACCTAGAAGAAGCAATTCAGATGACCTTTTTCGCCCAATCTCGACCAAATGGGGGTTTAGAAGAACAGATCACACCTTTTGCCACTTCCAAAATTGTCAGTCAATTTCCTCCTTGAGCTTTTAACCTGGTCCAACAGGCTCGAAATAGCTTGACCCAGCATCTCGGAGAGTAGGCCGAGTTCCTAGAGCCGAATTCATGTACTAAGGAAAATAAGGATTTGTGAAGCCTTGAGAGGTACCCTTAATGATTGGTGGTCATTATCAGATGAGGGTTTCCCAGAAGTATTAAAAGTCCAACTCAATTTTATTTCCCCATTTCTTCCCCACGCCCAGTTACGACAATGATTAGAAAATCTATTCTTCTCGCTGGTAAAGAGATGAGATGAGATGGAAATCTGATCGTGATTAATTGGCGAGTATGATATCATGCCGTCAAAGTATTGTGCTGATCACCCGTCAGCTATCGTATTCGTTCATCCAATCTTTCTATCCAAGATCCCCAGAAATTGGTGCCAGCTTACCACTGCCAAAGGTGCTTCCGTAGCTAGAAGACGGTTCCTGAGCCTAACACATAGAAATAAAAGCAGCATGAAACTTGCTGTTTTGCACTGCCATCACGGAGCAGTCATAATTACCCTTGAAGATAGCATAAAAAATTACAAGGTTGCACAACGAGAGCTATTTTCGGTCTCCACTATGCTTGGTTGTGCATATGCAAGCCAACAGACAAAAAAGGTCTACCACACTGCTGAAATGTGCAGGCTCATAGGATAACTTGGAGAATTTGTGCTGTCTGAGCGTAGCATTCTGGGAATCTTCCTCTCTGAATTCTACCTATTATCACCTGAAAGGAAAAAAGGTTTGTTAACGAATCATAGTTCAAATTCTGGTTGAAATATGTTGTTGAAAGGCGATTTGCCAGGACAACTAGCATGTGCAGTAGTCTACCTGTAAGCTTTTGAACAACTGAACATAAAAGCCGTTTTATCAATTCCAATTCGTACGGGGAAGAGCGATACTCAGCGAACCACCACATTCAATCCAACCCCCCTCCTTCGCGGGACAGAAGCACGAACAATGAAAATATTTTTTATAACCCGAGCCCGGAGAAGATGACAAAATAACACGAATACATTTTTCTTTGCATCTCCCTGATAAGACACAACCAATGGGACGTTTTCCCAGAAAACTCTCTCTAATCACGCAAATCGCGAACTTAACTTGGATACTTCTACCCTTAATAAGATGTGCAATTAAGAAATCTTACGCTTCCGCTTCGCCGCATTTTCAACGGGAACTATTCTGAACATCCTCGAATGCCACGAGCATCCAGCGCCAGCGCCAGAGTCAGGGTGGTAGGGTGCCCACAGGAGCTCTAGAGTCCTGTACCTCTTCCTTTAAGGGGGCTACAGACTACAGTGGTTCCAGCCTCTTTGATTTCCAGGTGATCGTCATGTGGCTTTCTATGTGGGAGAAGCCGAAATTAGGATATACATCTACACTTACTTATTCGTTTTCATGATTAAAAAAACAATGCAAGATATGTAAAGAATTAAAATAAACTATAGTATAAATAACATAATACGTCAGAACGATACATGCGTATTTTGAAAATTCGATTGGAGGTATCGACACCTCGCACTTTTCCCAGGAATTTGCAATTCAGCTGGACCCCAAAAGTCGCGTAGAAAAGCCAGATTGGGAAATGGGGTAGCAAAGTTAATTGCCATGATCGTAACGTGGAGATATACCTCTGACCTTTGTTACCACACAGGTTTCCTTAGCGTTGATACTGTACGCTGTCTTTCTGTGATGGGCGCTTCTAGTCTTTCTTTCTTAGTATCGCTTGCCTTTTGCTTTTTCTACGTTGCGACCGACCTTTAGACGATGGAATCGGCATATTAGTATGCCATCAACCTTCGGACAATTTCAAGTAAGCATAACGCTTTCCCTTCGCATTGCAGTGCAGAGGCGGGTACGGAAGAGTACTTGTCTTTCAAAATAAAAGTTGGTTGGCGTCTGAGTCTGACTTGGGATATCAACGTTGCTGCCGCACGTAGGCTTGTTCTTTAATCTCCTTTGTTGCTCATTACTCGCTGGCTCTTTTCATCACGGTTCACACACAATCATTTTTTTCGACTGTCGGACTGATTCGGAGTTGGCCTCGTGCTGGCGCGCGCGATGGACTTTTTATGCAAGTAGGTGCGAAGATGAAAGCAATGTACAAGGGGTATTCATACGGTCGTGTCCCTAAATAAGGAATAGTGAAATCCCCAAGAGGGGGAAGCGAGTTTGCGAGGAGTTGTAACTTGTGACATCCGTTACTCTAATGAGTTTAATTGGTGTATGTACGACTAGGGTGTATAGAAGTAGAACTTCGGTCCGCTGTCTAGTCCGTAGTTGCCGTGATCTCTG